TATGTTTCTTACCTTTCTGCCTCTCATGATGTGAGCACCTTGCTCTGCTAAGTGTCCACTAAAGAAAGAGCCACTTCTCCTAAAGCTGGAAGAAAGTGAGGCCCTGTGGGTTGTAATCAGATATGCTGGACTTACTGTGGTATATCTTCCTGAGGAATTTTCTAGGAAATTTTGACTATACTTGGTGCATACACACACACACACACACACACACACACACACACCCCTCAGAAAATGTGCCTGTACTGTTCAATAACTTACGTATTAAACTAGGAGCCAGGGATCTGGGATCACTGACCAGTGGCGGTGGCCACTCGTAATGTCTTTGTTGCACTTCCCAGCCTCATGGCCATAGTGCCCTGCGTGGGTAGGAGCTCCCCTCCCTGAGAGGTATTAGCACTTTAGTGAGCTCCAAAAGTCTCGTCAGTTAGCTCCCTAACTAGGTACCAGTGGAGATGCACTTCTTGCTAGCATTTTGCAATAGTTTTATCTACTCATGTGAGGTTCTGTGTAGGGACAACCCATGTAAGCCCACTGTTTTAGCTACTATGGCTGCATCAAAATCACCACAAACTTAGTGATTTAAAGGAACTATTTAGGATATTTGTGGATCTGTAGATCAGAAGTTGGGGTGGGGCACAGTGAGGAGGGTGTCTCTGCTCCACAATGTCTGGGTGTTAGCTGAATGACTTGAAGACAGGGGCTGGGACCATCTGAAGGTTCGGTCCTTCCCAAGTCTGGCTGTTGACTAGGGCTTTAGCTGAGGCTCTCATCCAGATGTCTATAAACAGCCCGTCCATAGCTTGGGCTTCCTCACAACATGGAGGCTGGGTTCCAGGGTGGGTGATCTAAAAAGACATGTCACCTTTTATGACCTGACTTTGCAAGTCAGGCAGTGTCACCTTCACTATGTTCTATACATTGAAGGAATTTCAAGGGCCATCCAGGTTTAATAGGAGAAGTAATAAACTCTGTTTCTTGATGGTGGAGAGGCAATGTTCCAGAAAAGTGTGTTGCTATGACCACAGCTACACTGCCATACCTGGGCATGGTATGGAAATGGCCAAGGAAGTTTTGCCTGGTCCCTGATTTATGGGCTAGTAGGCAGGACCTGGGTAACTTTGCACAGCTGATACCCATGGTTCTTTTTTTCTTTCTTTCTTTCTTTTTTTTTTTTTTTTTTTTTGAGGTGGAGTCTCCTCTGTTGCTAGGCCAGAGTGCAGTGGTGCGATCTTGGCTCACTGCAACCTCCGCCTCCAGGGTTGAAGCAATTTTCCTACCTCAGCCTTCTGAGTAGCCGGGACTACAGGTGTGAGCCACCACACCCAGCTAATTTTTGTATTATTAGCAGAGACAGGGTTTCACCGTGTTGGCCAGGATGGTCTCTCTTGACCTTGTGATCCGCCTGCCTCGGCCTCCCAAAGTGCTGGGATTACAAGCATGAGCCACCACACCCAGCCGATACCCATAGTTCTGATCCCACACTGCTCTCTCTGGACAGACAGATTTCTTTGGACAGAACAGAATTTTTCATCAGATTGATAGAAACATATTAATCTACTCTCTCATCAGCTGTCAATTGTCAGTTTAGGTCTAAACTAACTCTATTCCCAAGATTTCAAGTGAGAGCCTTATAGTAAAGTAATACATCTCTTAAGTCATATCCACCTGGTTCACATTCAATATCCTCTCAGTTCAGAATCACAAGCTGTCAGACCAACAAGTAGTGGCTGCTGCACAAGCCTGAGAGAGATCCTGTAACTGCCTTGGAAAACCAGCCCCACAAAAGAATGCCAGTCAGATTTCTGTTAGCTAACAAGGTGACTTGAGCTCTGTGAATTGTTCCCTTATGCTATATTCTTTGTTTTTTAATCTCTAAAAAACTAAAAAAAAATTCAGGTAAATTTCTTCCTTTTTCGTTATGGTTCGAATTAGGGTTTTTGGTAACTTTTTTCCAAATTTTAGAAATGTTAAAGGTTCAGGCAAGTATAAAGAAGAAAATAAAAATTTCCTGTAATACTGCCCCACAAAATAATAATTATAAATATTTTAATGCTTTGCCTATTTGAGTTATTTCATCATCATTAAATGCTCTTTTATTAAAAATGACTTTAGTGGCTAAATTCAAATCTAATATGCCAGAACTTATTTTAACTATTCCCTTTATTGTTGGACAGTTATTTCCTCTTTCCCATACTTTTAATGCCATCATTTTTGCATGAAAAATCTTTTATTTCTATTTGACATATATGTGATAGGCATTCTTCCATGCTTATTACAAGGGCTTAATAAAAGTTATTTCAATTTAAATGAACAAATTATTTCTTTTTGATAGATTCCAGGAAGGGAAATTATTGGGTCCTAAGATATGAACAATTTAAAATGCTTGTTATGTGGTCTGAAATTGCTTTCCAAAATTTATGCCATTACTATCAATCTGCACATAATTTAAAAAGGCAAACAAGCAGGAATTATATGTTTGGGGGAGAAATGTAAAACTGTATTTTAAATTTGTTTAATTTAGCTTTGATTTCATATTTGTTGTAGCCTTAAGATGAAGATTGAGTCATTTGATTTCATTTAAGGGTGTTTTAAATTCCTTGGTTTTCTGTTCTGAGTCTATGCTTTTTCTCTCTTTAAGTGTGTTTTCAGTCATATGTATTTTCCTGCTAACAGTGTATTTTTCTCCTTCCTGTATGATTTGTGGTTTCATGACTGTCAATCATTTTTTCCCAGATGTTCTTTTTCTTAGTGTCTCATTTATTTCATGTGTGATGACGGTGTTACTCATTATCCAGTTCCTACACTTCCATGTAATCTTCCACCCTCAATTTCACATCTTTGACTGATAATTTTATTTTGGGATCAGAAAAAAATATATACATATATATATGTATCTGTGATTTTTATATATTTGCTGTGTTCTCACCACTGTTATGGTCAATTTCAAGTAAGCCTTCCTGGGTGCTTCACATTAAAGTTCCTTTAATTGTGTCCATATGTCCCCACAATTGTATGTTATTGCCACTAGATTTCTTTTCTATATACACTTACTTGCAGTAAATGTGTATAGCTCATTCTGTAGCTTGTAGCTCATTCTTCAATATACTAGACTTCTCCAGTATTTACAATAGTTATTTGCAGTTCCCATTAGCACTATTTTATTCTAATGTAGTTGGCCATTGGCATGTAAATTTTAAAGCTAATATAGCAAAAGTCAAATTATACACCTGAATTTAGTTGTTATTTGTGTATCCTGATTATAATATTATATAACGCATCATCTCCAAAGACCTTTTAACGGGACTATTATCGCACACCTGGGCATTTTGATATTATTGTGTGGTATTCACTGTAGCTTTTGTAGTAACCTTGTAGTTTAAGCTGAATACATATCTTAATCGTTTACCTTAGGCTTTTTTTTTTTTTTTTTTTTGAGACGGAATCTTGCTCTATTGCGCAGGCTGGAGTGCAGTGTTGTGATCTCGGCTCACTGCAATCTCCGCCTCCTGGGGTCAAGCGATTCTTCTGCTTCAGCCCCTTGAGTAGCTGGGATTACAGGCACCCACCACCATGCCCAGCTAATTTTTGTATTTTTAGTAGAGATGGGGTTTCACCATGTTGGCCAGGCTGGTCTCGAACTCCTGACTTTATGATTCACCCACCTCAGCCTCCCAAAGTACGGGGATTACAGCTACGAGCCACTGCGTCTGACCTGCAAAAATTTTTTAGTGTATCTTCTAAGCTTTTCACTCTTAGTTGAGGAAATATTACCTTTACATTTAAGTTTTAATTCTGAGCTCATTTCTTGCTTCTCCCCCTGCTTTATTCTAAGAATCTCTATCTTCTGTTCTCGTTTTCTTAACCTTGTTTATTGTTTTCCTTTACAAGTCTGTGGCCTTCTACATGCCCAGCTTTGAACTTGGGGCCCTGGGATGAATGATGAACCCATGGCCCTTATCCACAGGGAACTTACCTCACTTGAGTGGACACAGCACTTATCAGAATGATTGCCCTACAAGGTGAAATTATTATTTGGGGCCTTTGAAGGAAAGGTTGGGTTTCAGAGAAGAATGGGGAAGAATGCATGGGCAAAAAGAACAGCATGAGAGAAGGCAACCAGGTTAGTCTGGCTGGCAAAGCTTAGCTTGCCTTTAGGAGAGTAGAGGGGATACAGCTGAACCATGGGCTTTGTGCCGGGTCATATGAAGGCAGAGTTTAGACTCTGCTCTGTGGTGGTTTTGTGCAGGAAAGTAACATAAAGAAGGCCCTTTTCTGGCTCATAGAAATAAGTTTGAAGGGAAAACGTGAGAGAAGGAAGGAGCTCTAAGACTCAACTGTTCATTCATTAAATCAATCAATACTACCTGCCTGTCATGTGCCAGATACTATGCCAGGGACTCTAGGACCAGCAACAAGCAAGACATCATCATCCTGCTCTTATGGGGCTTAAGCTCCCATATATGGTGGTGGTAGCCGCAGCTGTATGTGCAATATACACCTCATGGCACTTATATTCTAGCATTCAGGGACTGTGGTCAGTGTGTAAACAAATGTTCAGTGCCCTAGTCAATTCCTGTGTCCTTAAAGGAATATTCCCTTTGTCCTTACAGGTTAGCCCAGTTGCTGCTATGACCCCCTCCCCACTTTTTTTAGAATCCCTATTAAATTTTGAATTTGCCCATTGATACAGCTGGAAGATTCAGAGTTTCTGTTTGATAAATCCACTTTGGGACTTGACATACTGGAAGTAGCACTTTGAAATGACCAGACAAGGGAGGTAGGCTGTGGAACTATGTAGACAAAGCTCATTCTTTGGTCATAACTTGAAATCCGTTCACAGCTTCTCAAGTTTGATCCCCAGGGGAGACACAGGCCCTAGCACAATTCTGACTGAGATGCAGAAACTGGGAGAGCTCTTTCCAGGAAGCTTCCCTTTGTGTACAGTCTGTGTTCACGGCTCTAACCAGTGATCTTGTTTCCCCCACCCCTCTCGCCAGGAATCTTACATCCTTTCTGCAGAACTTGGAGAAAAGTGTGAAGACATAGGCAAGAAGCTATTGTACTTGGAAGATCAACTTCACACAGCAATCCACAGTCACGATGAAGATCTCATTCATATCCTTTTCATCTTGCAGATTAAGCAAGACAAAGTTATTTTATAGAAGAAAGTCTTTAAAAGGTAGTTATGCCTCAGAAGATGGCAACAAATAGATGCTGCTGTTATGTATAGTGCAAAGCACCTCAGATCTCTGAGATTATCAGGTATGAAACATTTTCTCTCTAGTTTTCGGTAAGCAATTCAGTATTTTTTTTTCTTTTCTTTTCTTTTTTTGGGATGGAGTCTCACTTTTGATGCCCAGGCTGGAGTGCAATGGTGTGATCTCAGCTCACTGCAACCTCCACCTCCTGGGTTCAAGCAATTCTCCTGCCTCAGCCTCCTGAGTAGCTGGGATTACAGGTGCCCGCCAGCATGCCCAGCTAATTTTTTTGTATTTTTAGTAGAGACGGGGTTTCACCATGTTTGCCAGGCTGATCTAGAACTCCTGACCTCAAGTCATCCACCTGCCTTGGCCCTCAAAGTGCTGGGATTACAGGCTTGAGCCACCACATCCAGCTGCAATTCAATATTTTTAATTGCTAAACCCAACCACTAACAATTAAGTTCAGACATGCACACAAGGAAGCCAAAGCAAAATGCAGTTTCCAGTGGGTGTAAAGCTGGCTCTGTGTGGCCCTGGTGGAAGAAAACAGTTGACTGGCTCATTTTCCTATGAGCTTTTTCAATACCAAGTGTCCTAAATCCACCTCTGAGTTTCTTTATCTAGCAACTCTACCTAGTAATGGGCAGTAGAGTAACAAAACAAACAGGACTTTGGATTATTTCCTTTCAACTTCTAACCATGTACACATGGTTGAACTGAATTTAGTCCTTTCTGGTTGCCAGTGATAGAATTTCTTGCACCAGACTTAACATCCTTGCTGTTAACCTATAAACACCTTCCTCAAAACTAGCTGCTAATGAGCAAGATGGCTTGAGAACATACTGGCTTGGGTATGCATCCGTATGAAGCACTACATTCTATGTTGATCTGTGGACACAGTTTGTCACTGGTTAGTTCTGCTGAGAGCAAACGAATGGGTACACAGTGGGTGAAGGGATATGCAGCCCTATATCCTTTCAGTTTATTTAATCACAAGTTGACACTTCTGTAGCCAAAAACACTTCCCTATTCATCTTTCTATTCAGTAGAATGTCTTTTATTAGATGCGTTTGTGGGAAATTTAGCTATTTTGGTCTTTGCTTGTCATTGCTGTCTTACTTTTTAGAATTCCAGTTTTTACCATACTTTATGGGCTGTGTGTGTGTGTGTGTGTGTGTAAGTAGCTTTGAATGGCCAAGGACTAATCTTAGTCACAAATACTCAGATCTGCGATTTAATGATAGATCCAATGCTATGCTTCCTTCCTTGCTATAACTTTATATTTTTGACCTTGTTTATTAAGCTGAGCAGAAAATTTATTCAACTTAATCAGCAACGATTTTCACATTGCTTTAGGTAAATTTTGAAAAGCAGATATTCTGTTCTTCATAATTTCCTGCCTCTTAAGAATCTTGTATTTAAGCTATTATCAGAAAGTTTCCCAAAGAAACATAGAAACATAGAATAAGGATGGCGTTTTCATTTATTCCATGTTCATGGGGTCACAAATCTTTGAGCACGTCTAAGGTGGTATGGCTCCCAGCAAATGGGCAGATGATGGGGCACAGAGGAGCAACCCACTGCAGAGAGTCCATGGATATGAAGGAGTTCCCGTTCCCCAGCCCAGCAAATGGGCAGTTCCTGAGTAGGAGGTACCTCTGTCTTCAGGTAGCAGTTCTGAGGGCTGCAATCAGGGTTCTGTGCTGGTCTCTTGTGAAATTTTCTAAAAGGTTAGTTTGATTCTGGAGAATTGGATCGTATTTTTACTAGAGCTGGGAGGCAGCTCTAGCAAAGACCCCTGAGAATAAAAGGGGTTAAGCAGTGTTTAAACAAGATCCTTTTAGTTTTTCCACAGCTGATCCAAGCCAGATTTAGTAGCAGTGGGATCATGGATAAGTGATAATGCCTCTTTAAGCATTAGGGTTCCCATCTGTAACGTCAGGATAACATACACCTCTAAGGTTTTTATGGGGGTTCAATAAGGCCATATTCACAATGTACGTTTAATGTAGCCATGGGTAAGTACATGATTTTAGGTAGAAAAGTGTTATCCAAGTCCATTTGTCTCACAGTAAATTAGTCACAAGCTCCAAGAATATCCCATTTATGCACAAAAAGTTTCAAGGTACATTGATTCAACTATTTTGTAATAAACGCTTAAAGGAATCAATCAGTAGCTCCACAATAGCTTAGATGAAAAGTCATTTAATTCTAATAAAATGTCTATAAATAGATAGGGATTATTATCCCTACTTGACAGTCGAAAAAAACAAGACTTGACAGTCGAAAAATAAGAACGACTTGGCTGGCACAAGGTCATTTCTGACGAGTAGCAGAACTTTCCAGCCACAAGCCCCATGGTCCTATTTGGCCCATCAGAAAGCAGCTATTGCCTATACGTAAATGGACAGGTCTGTTCCATGGAACACACAATTACTTTAAAATTTTAAGCTATAATAAAAGTATTTTACTGATGTTATGTTTTTTGAGAATTTCGCTGATCTCTGCTGTGATAAGCAGAGAAGCACTGGTTTAGGTACTGAAGTCAGCTCTCTCCCTCCCTCCAATAAAATCTACACCACGATATGGATTTCAATCCAGACTTTTCTTCAAATTCCAGTCTTTTGTTCTGTCACTGATTGAGAATAAATACACGGAAGGTGTCTTTGAATTCATACAAAGAGGCACTTAAATTTGAGTGGAACATTACACCCTAAGATAGAAAGACATGTTTACAAGGCTCTACGGAGGCTCCCCTACACAAACAAAAGCCGTTGTTTCAAATTAGAGCTTCTCTAGAGATTCAGAGAGGCTGCCAGAATCCTACAGCCAAACTCTGACTGGTTTATATTTCCATGTTTGATCAAAGATACAATGCTGAGTGTGGCTGAAAGAAACAGCTTGTTGTCAACGATACAGAAGGATTGCACAGTGAGTGCAGTATTTTGTTTGATTCCATTAAGCATGCTGCCAGAGCCTGCTGTGCATGTGAGGTAGAGGGTACCCAATTAATCTAAGTCCACATTGGAATGTGATTAATGTAAGCCCACATTGGACGTCCACGTCTGAAAGACTCAAGCCACAGATGCTACCATGGATGTTTATTCTTTGTGTGGAAAACACTTAGTTTTTGCATAAACCATATGTGTGCATAAGGACTATTAGTGTGGCATCAACAGAGGCTAGGGGTGGGCAGTGGGACTGAGTTTCCAAATAAGTCCTTGTGGCCTCCTGATTTAATATCCGTGTTATGGGCAGCCTACTGGGCGTCTCCTACTTTTATCAAGAAGACACTGATTGACAAATCCAAGGAGGGAGAGGAAACAGCCCCTGCCTCTTCATCGTCCTGACAGGCTCACCAAATTACATGTAGCATGACCAAATAACAACACAAACCCATCAGCTACTGGGGCAGCGAGTGTCTGAAAACAGTCTGCACCATTAATTGGGAGAGCTGGCGGTGGAGAGGTGGCTACGCCTAGTGCCTGAGAAGGGGACAGGAGGTGTGACTTCACAGCCAGTCAAGCTGGGACTTCCAGGAGCCTTAGCGTGAATTTCTAGTGCATTTTCACAGTCATCTGGGGTCCTAATTAGCAGTTATGTTTTGAAAAACATTTTGATTGTGTGTGATGTCTCCTCCATGCTCAAAATGTTGCAGCCAAAAACCTTCCAAATGAAGGTGGATTTTTAAGCAGGAATTTTCTCATTTTCTTCCTCCTTCAATTTCTACAACACACTTTCAAAGGAAAAGAAGTACACTTGTGATATGTACCTTTTTGGCATATTTCAAAGCCCTCAGGGCAGCTCTGCCTGCCCCTCAGTCATAGACGAGGTAGAGACACTCTGGTTCTATTTGCGGTTGTATTTACATTCATGTCTGGGAAGCCCTTGTGGAATTCTATTTCTCTGCTTATTTGGAGTGCATGGTGCCCAATTGATTAGTTTTGGTGGTGCTCGATGGCATGCTCTAAATACATCCAGGCTTGTGCGCAAACACCACAGCTCTGTAGGACCCTGTTTTAGTTCAACTTTCAAATTTTTAGCTTGAACAGACAAAGGTAACAGGAATTATGGGAAATTGTCCTGCCTCCTTGGAGATGTTTTCCACTTCTAGAGCTGAGGGGCTGGAAGAGGGATCATGTGGATCATGGAGCTCCACTCACGTAGTTTATAGATAAAAAAAATCCAGAGCCTGGCCGGGTGTGGTGGTTTACACCTTAATCCCAGCACTTTGGGAGGCTGAGATGGGTGGATTGCTTGAGACCAGGAGTTCGAGACCAGCCTAGGCAACATGGCAAAACCCTATCTCTATTAAAAATACAAAAATTAACTGGACGTAATGATGTGCACCTGTAGTCCCAGCTACTCCAGAGGCATGAAAATTACTTGAACCCAGGAGGTGGAGGTCGCAGTGAGCTGAGATTGCACACCACTACACTCCACCCTGAGCAACAAAGTAAGACACTGCCAAAGAAGGAGGGTGGGAAGGAAGGAAGGAAAGAAGGAGAGAAGAGGGAGAGAGAGAGAGAGAGAGAACAGGAAAGAAGGAAGGAAGGAAGGAAGGAAGGAATGAAGGAGGGAGGGAGAGAGGGAGGGAGAGAGGGAGGGAGGGAGGGAAGGAGGGAAGGAAGGAAGGAGAAAGAAAGAAAGAAAAAGAAAGAAGAAAGAAAAGAAAGGAAGAAAAAGAAAGAAGAAAGAGAGAGAGAAGGGAGGGAGGGAGGGAAAGAGGGGAAAGGAAAGGAAAAGGAAAAGAGGAAAGAAAAGGGGAGGGAAGGGAGAGGGGAAGGAGAAGGACGGGAAGGGAGAAGAGACAAGGGAAAGGAGAAGGGAAGGGAAGGGAAAAGGGAAAGAAGGGAAGGGAGAAAAAGGGAAGAAAAGAAGGAAAGGAAAGAAAGGAAAAGAAAGAAAAGAAAG